GGCTGGACTCATCGTTTGTTTAGGTAGGTTTCAACATGAGCTACTTCCCATCCCGACACAAATGATTCCGATATCGGTTCTGAGAGTCAAACAATAGAATAGTTATTCCTGCTTCTTTTTTGCGCATATGTTCGCCAACAACAACACTGCTAGGATTCGAGAGACCTTCAACGCGTGGATTTGTTCACACTGGGCACTGAAGGTTTATGTTGCTTAAGTTCCGGCTTCAAGTCTTGTTGCTACGTAAGAGCTATTAAGAATCTGAGCACACCGGTGCAAAAGCCACAAATACGTATATAACCCTTTGCTGGATTCCGGTCACTCTTCTGGATGTAAAATCGGTGGATGAGGTTCATCCGTAACCAGTATCTGTGACCAAATCCAGGCTGAAGATTCAAAAAGGTTTTAACAAAAAAACACATGACCCCATGACATTCCTTTCTGCCTCAAAAAAAACCTGTCTTGGAATTACTTGAAAATCCTTGAAACATCATATATAACTTATAGCAACATAAAAAAATACTACAATGAAGAAGTAGATACAACGACTCTTTGAGGTCTCCTCACAAAGCCAATACTATTTCTAGGAACAATCCGATAGTTGATATTGGTTGGTTTCCTATTACAACCGACCCACCGACCCACGGTCTGGATGGATCCGGAACTTGCCCGACCATTCTTGCTTCAGTGAACCCGAAGAAGACATGCATTTTCAGACCACGCAACCTGTCAACCTGCTGGCAGCTTTGTTTTGACAGGCGGGCAAACAGAATCGACTGGCTCCTGTCATCCGATGATGAAACGGTGTGGCGTCCGAAAAGCGTGCGGAGGGTGCCTCCTTCGGAGGTCCAAAAACAACCGCCCAGCGGAGGTCCGAGCACGATCTATGTATTGAAAAATGATGCTGCAGAAAATGGTCGCGAAAATCCGAAAACCACAGTCTTTCATGAATTCCGAAGGTTCCTGTCCAAGACATTTGTGCGGTTCTACAGTTGGCAACTCCACTTTCTGCTACAGCGGTTCTCTGGGTCTTCACAAGAGACTCATCCAACTTCCAGGTGAGCCAAGTGCCATCTGGCCCAAAGCCGTCGAGCCCAAATCGTCACCAGGGCCACGACCAATAACCAAAGGCCGGTGCCCAGCAAGTCATCTTTCAGTTGGCCAGAGAACACCTGCAGCGCTTGGTTGACCCTGCGTCTCCTGGTCTGTTTTTGCTTGCTATATTTTGGTGGTTGAAGCGTTTGAGGATGTTCGAGATGCAACTCTGTGCCCCAGACAGGTATGCGCTGTGCTCAGTACCCCAGAGAAGTGTCCTGAGGTGTCCTTTATGAAGGTCACTGAGTTTAACTCGCCCTCACACATGTGACATGAGGCTCTGCCACCCATCTTTGGGCAGCTTATAGTGCTTATAATGACATGGTATGAGTCATCTGGTTAGACTGCAGAACCATTTAATACTAGTCTGGTGGAACTCTTCGTCAGAAGCGATACACGAGAGTTTGACTGACTGATGTCACCGTTCCTTGGGGAAAAACATGGTTAATCTACGTGATTTCATGGGAATTCAAAAGGTTTCTTGGCACTGCAGTGAAGCAAACCTTTAGTCACATGTCACGAAGAATTAGCATCCCTTTAATGAACTTGAAAGTGGACAACCCTAGTCTCTAGAGGAAAAGTAACAAATGAACTCTTGGAAGAAAAGTCTCCATGCAAGGAAACACCATCTGATGGCCTCAACACCCCATGCTCTCAATCAGTCTCACATCGTTCATACTCAAGCAATCCACCAACACAGTAAGAAATGATATCATTAGTGCTGTCATTAGGGACAATCCCTAGATTGATGTTGGAAAGATCTCAGCAATTCCATATCATACCTGTACGTAGGCCTTTCAACACTGCCATCTGGCCTTTCAACACTGCCAAGAAGCTATACGGAGCAAATGGAGAGGCAAAACCAAGGCCACCTATTCTTCGGTCCAGTTCTGCGGATTCGAACTGCAAAAGGATCAATCTGAACGGGAGAAACATGTGGAACAGCTCTGTCTGCTACAACAAGTCACCACATTTGGAACATGCTCTGTCTGAAATGGGAGAAACATGTGGTCCAAGCCACTACAAGTACAGCCGCCATCAGAGTCACCATGTGGTCCAAGCATCGATTGACTCTTCGCCGACCTCGTGTTTTTGTGGGGTGTCCAGTACAGGAGTCAGGACGAGTCTTCCAAGGTTCATCGAATTCAATCTGGAACAGGGTTTCTTGCTGGTTTCTTATTTGTCTTCCAAATGTCGGGCATCCTACACATGCAAGCAACCTGACCTGTGCACTCTAACACGAACACATCGATTTTGAAACATCGGGATCGCGGTCGGAAAGCTTCCACAACCTGAAATGATGATGGCCAACCAACCTGTTCACCACCTGTTCGTAGAGGAAGATGGCCAACCAACAAGCCATGCCTTCCACGTAACCATGATGGTCTCAGGGAGGGTAGATATCTATAGAAGATCAAGGGATTCACAGATCTTGCTGCACCAACACCGTGGGAGGCCATATTAATATATAGGTCCATTTCCTGTAAAACCTTACGTGCCTGGGAATGACAGTTCTGATTTGGGGGATGCAAGGTCCACAGCGAGAGCCAGTCTAGAGTTGAGGTTAAACATGTGATTATATAAACCATTATAAACCCATTCCGACCACCCAAAATCAACATGGGCACCTGAATGGCAAGGGACAATAGAGAAACAACCATGGACCACGGATATCAGGATTGCTGCAGGGCGGATAGAATGCTAAGATTCCGATCGAAAGTGGATCGATTCGAAGGAGTTAGCGTCCAAGCCTAAGGGTCTAAGGCTTCTCTGGGCCCAGAAACATTCTGGCCAAGCAGCGAAGTTTCAAAGAGACCATGAGGCAAAATAGAGCACACAAGGGGATCATGCATAACCACCACCTCGAAATCGGGCGAGAGAAGACAGGCCCTGCGGATCGAACAGTGTGGCACCGCCCCCAGCAACAATCTGTCGACTGAGGTCAGCAAAGCTCCCATTTTCAAGAACCACAGCACTATGTGGTCACTATGTGTGACGATCTGTATTGATGCTTCACTCTACGATGAAGACAGCATGAGCAACTGACAACTCTGCGCATTCTTCTCAACTGTGCAATTCCTACAAATGCTCGACGGATGTGCTCTTCCCAACTCTGAGCGTCAAATCCTACTTTTGAAACGGGATCCAAGTAAACCCATATTTTCCCGGCACGCCTCGGGTTTTGCCATTGGACACACGAAAAACTAACACTCAAATGTGTTCCTCAAGCAATAATGTAAAGATTACACTAAACTGTTTTGGAATCCAGCAAAACTTGTGCTTCTTCTCCTCTTTCTGCGGATGTTCTGGCGGAGAGACATGACAGATTCCGCGGAAAAATCCCTTCAACACAGCAAACCTGAAATCCATGCAAACTGCTTTCTTGCCACGGGATGTTATTTTGTATACTGCTCAGTTTTACAGTCTTCGTGAGGACTCACACGAGCGTCATTTCTGACCTGCAATACCTTCTTGTGTCATTTGCGGATCCAACTCTAGCAAATGCATTGAACCATCAATTCCTTATGACAACACAACATGGTTTACCAGATCGGCCATACAAATGTTAAATGATGTGTTCCAATGTGTTCTACTTACTTCCCCTACTTCGAGGATTAATAAAGAAACATGATCCCCATCTGACTTTCCCTAGCCACTCCTAACCCAAATAGAACGAGGCACCCCAGCAGCACCAATGCAGCCACGATGGAGTAGTAAACCTCCCCGACTCGCAGACGTGCCACCAATAGATCGCCATAGACCCAACTGGTAGGCATGCTCACGGCCACCTCGTGCGAGCCGATACGGACCGAAACACCCGGATCAATCAAAGACCTCCTGAGATAAAGCCGGGTTCTTCTATCTGAGAGGCGAGGTACTTCTTTCTTGCACAGGTCTTTCCAGTTTCATTGATAAAAGCACATCAAAGTAATACCTTCCAATCATTCAAAGGTCTTCAATGCGATGCGATTCTGTGTCTATTCGGTCGTGTGGGAGTTCGGTGGATCGAGCTGTGTCGTTCCATCATCGTCCCATCACGAGCCTGCCATCCGATGCCATGAAATGACATTTGCAACACACTCACAAACTAGACACACACAGTATAGTATAGGTACATCATACAGTACAGTACATTATCATATAGTATAGTGTGTAGGTGGATCATCATAATCATCATACAGTGTTACAGTATAGTATATCATCTATCACTCACATATAGTTAGGTACATCATCATGCATCTCAGGCAAACCAAGACACTAGCCATCTGAAGGTGAACGTGTACCGCTGCAAACCTCAGCGCAAGGCAACAGTCTACTTCAAGACTTAAGACTGGACCTGATGCAAAGGTTGCCGACTTTGCTTTCATGAAGGGTTGTAGGATTCGACGAATTGAACAAGAGGAGCATAAGCATGATGGAACACAAAGAAACACTTAAACACCAGTGTCTTGCTTGGCAGAATCAAGCAAAGACCGGCATGTCAAGCATGTTGCTTAGGCTACGAAAAGCACTGGTATACAAGAGATATGGTAAGGTGCGCGTTTCGCTGGGTTTCGCCATTGATTTATATACAGTAAATATCAGTAAATGTATGTGAACTATGAACTTCATCCAAAGCTCCAGCCTACGCTGCTATGAGTTACTCCCAAGAAAAATAAACCATAGGGGCCTACGGGAGCCTTCCTACCTAGGGTGCTCAGGTTCGCAATGTTTTGCACTTCCTGTTGAAACCACTGGATGCCGATGTACAAACAAATGGTTGCCAACCAAATTCACTTCGATTGAAAAGGACATTACTGGGTCCTGACTTACTGGGTCCTGTGGGTCCGGGTCCACTCGTAACTCCTCCTCCCAGTCTTGAGCCATCCAAGACTCCTTTGATCAGAACTCTGCAGACCTCAGACCTCACACAGGATTCAAAGGCCTCCTCGCTGCCGAACCACAAGCGGATACATTCAGTGATGATCTCCCTGTCACACATGATCGTATTGCCCGCTTCATTTAAATGGTTGGTTCGGCAGCAGTGAGAATCGGCGTTTTCCATCGAGAAGTTCTTGAGCTGACTGCAGCATTCATCAATCCATCGGAAATAGCCACGCAAACAATGGATGCCGATCACACAAATGCACAGAACCACCAATGTCACTGCTAGAATCGTCTGCACCCGGCCACCATAGTTGAGGACAATGCCTTGAAGTGAAGCGACTGGTTATATATCAGAAAACAAAAGAGATGGCTTGTGTTTGGTTACTGAACAAGATTGAGACACTGGGCTGCTGAAGAGCCTAGATACTCATGTTGATCATTGTCGCAGAAAGAAAGATTGCAACCGCCGTTGGACCCAAAAAAGTAGGCAGGATGATCAAGCAGGAAGATAATCCAGCACGATCTCCATGACTTTTGAGAAAGCCCGCAATCTCAAAGATCGTCCAAAGCCTGGGAACAAAGGAGTTGGCTGTGTGTGTTTTTTTTCACTCGTTTGTGAATCATGTCAAAACCTCAAAGCTACAAGATGCTACAAGGGTAGATGCAAGGGGACCTGTAAAGTGTTTGAGCAATTTTGAAGACAGCCTAACAGCATGTGTCCTCAACATGCTGCAGACTCACTGCAGACCCCATGGGCCCTGCACCTCGTAATGTAGCTCGGCTCAAACAAGACCAGCATAGTTTCCGAATGCTTCATAATCCCACCAATACTCTGGATTCCGGCGGATTTGAGCTCTTGGTCTCTCTGATGAATGCAAATCCGGCCAAAGAAGACGCGCGATGAGGAGGGCTGCCAAAGAAAAAGCACCAGGAGCGTTCCAAGGCATCCAGCAACTAACCCCCAAGGGCCAACCTCATATGCTACACCTTCCACTGGAAACACTCTTGGATATCCGGGGAGCAGTCCTAAAGCAAATAGACCCATCCCCAATAAGGCCGCACACATGCCAGCCGCCACGGCTGCACAACCATTGTACACGACCAAGAGGAGTAAGATCTTCGTCCAAGCGGTTGCATGCCAGGAATGGCTCCAAAAGCAATTCACCTGGTGGCGATTGCTAAACATCTCCGGTGCTGTTGAGCTTGAGTCTTGTGTGTACAACGGAAACAACATATGCTATGACCATTGCTACTACAGTAGGTTGGAGAACATCGCTGTTGATTAGGTTGGAAGCCATTGCTATTAGGTTGGACATGTTTTTAAGACCGATCGATTATCAAAGCACTTCTGCCTTTTCGGTTGTTGAGCTCAAGTGATAGATCTCACGGTCGAAGCTCTTTTCCCTCAAGGCCCGGCCGAAGAAGCGCAAAGCTTTTGATGGAACAGTCGTCCGCATGAGCTCTGGGTTCTTGAGGTTCATTTTGGAGATCTCACCTGTCAATGCAAACCGAGGGTTCTTCTGGAGGCTCTCGGATTGAAGAATCAAGATAACAAAACAATATGTTCCGTGCTTCAATGTGCAATCAAGTAGATTGAAAAGTACTTGACATGTGCACGTGTTTGCATGGTTCAAACCATGACGACACTGAACAAACCCCGCAAGTCTGGCAACATCGAAACTATCAGTCTATGCACGGCGACAACAAATCTCCCTTGAAATATCTTACTTACTTAGTTATAGATAATATATGTATATAGTATAATATTATTGTATACATCTACATGATATATATATATATACAGTAGTGAACCTTGAGTGCCATGTCCAGCTTGGACATGATTGATCTCTCATGGATAACGAAACAAAACAACGCACGTGGGCTGAATTGCATGTGTGTGTGTGTCTGAGAGCCGTGTGAGTTTAGTCATACGCTTGCCTCTTTCACCATTCAGTCAGATTGGTTTAGTCCTCGCATGTTTGGTGATTGGGTGTTCTCACTTCCTTTGCAATTTGTTCATTGATTCATTGTGTTTATATAGATTACGACACTTTCAATGTCTGCATATGTCTGTTTCCAGCTCCAGGTAAACACCAAGTCAGCGAATCAGTGCCCCAAAGGCTTGGGGGTGAAGAAAACCAAAGGCTTGTCACGTGTCACCAACGAATTCCCGCACAATGGTCCAACTTGTGGTGAACTGTTGCTTGAACTTTCACCATTCTCGGACGACGCAGGTCGTATGATACCTCCGACCACTCCTCCGACCGTATATGGCGAACACCACTAGAAATATTAAATAGACTCACTGAAGACAAACATATATATATATAATATATATTGAAGACAAATGAAGATCGAGAACCACCATATCGATCATGTTAAAGCAGCCAAATATTCCAGTCCTACTAGCACAGTCCGGCTTTAGGAAGGCCGTATGAGGCTAATCAAAGGTGTGTTTCTTGGTGGCGGAATGCAAATCTGGAATGCAATCAAGATTTGGGGCTGATTGCATTGGGAATTTGAAGCTTTTGATGACTCATGACTGAGCAGCATCTCTTTCATTCTGCAAAGAAAAAATGTAAAAAGGGCATGCTGACCACTTCATGCCTTGCCTACACCAACCACACTTCTGGGCCTTTCCCCCCGTCGCTCAGAAAACATGTTTCGGCTGACCACGACGAAGGATGGAAAAACGGTCCAGACCATGGGGTCGACCAAGTCACTGGCTGCGTCCTGTATTGGCAGCTTGAAACAGCAATCCTCTTCTTCTTGCCATTCGGGCACCTTGTCTATACTGATTGGAGGATGCTGCAGCTGCTCCAAGTGCGGTGCCATGGCAAGGAACTAGGAGTGGTCGACCACAACGTGGCAAGTGTCAGAGCAGCTGATGATGAAAGTTCATGGCATCCCCTTTGCTAAGCTCCTGTATAGTATTTTTCCCAACTCATTACAGTAACATCCATAGAGGGTTTGGTTTGACTGGAACAACCTCTGAATCAGGCGAAAGGACACAGCAAAAAGCCAATGCAACAGTGCCACAATCCATTTCAAGCGCTGTGTCAGTCAGCCAGGAGAACAGGACACGTTCCTATACCTACTCAGTTGTTGTCCATTTCACAGAATGAAAGGCTGCATTGGGATTCTCTCCACAGTTGTGCGTGTCAAGGAATGGCCTGTCTTCCTAGTGATATCTCTAAAGTCCTATGACAGGGGCATTAAATTAACCTGAGGCCGCTGTAAGACACTAATCATTCATCACTGTAGCTGTAACGACAGCAGAAAACTCCCAGGTGCTCAGCTTTTGGTGCCAAGTCTCTTTCTTCTCAGTACATGCATCTGGGTGGAACGAAGTTGTTGATAGTGAGGAGCTGGAGCTTCTTCAACCGGACGTAGACCCCATAGACCCAAATGCTCCATTCGGACCCTCCGTTCAGCTGGGGGGCAAACTATATAGTGGGTCGATCTGTTCCATCCATTTGGGACCTCCTGGGAATGTTCGGAGCGTCAGGGGAGTCTACTTGGGTGTGTATTGGAATAAGGAGATCCTGCTAACCGCTCAAAAATGTTCACTTTGACCAGAAAACCAGAAGTCTTCGGAGGTCTCCCTATTTCAATAGCACATCCACATGGCCTCTTTACAGACTCTTGCGACCTTTGGATTTGACCGGTCCGCGCGGTCCGCAGGCGGTGACTGCCCCGACAGGCGAACCGGAGTCCGAATGGCTTGGCGTTCGAACACGAGATGCCACACCGGTGAAGCCACAGTCTGCGTTTCTCGGCTCCGTCTACGGGCGCGTTCGCTTAGTCATGCGAAAGGCCCGCGAGCGGACCCATGGCAACAGGGCGATGTCCGATAGCAAACGCCGGCGCGAGCGAGTGTGTTTCGCCCGAAGCAACGGCAAAAGGTCGCACGGAGCGCTCTTTAAGGCGCCCAGGCTCGGCAAGCCCGGCAGCCCAGGCAGTTTGAGCTTCGGCAGCTTGGGGAGGCCTGCTCTGAAGGTGCTGTAAGATGGAGCTCTGGGTAAATCAAAACACAGAATTGGAACAGGGGGTGCATGGTTGCACAGGCTAGATTGTGAGACAGGAAACTATAAGATTATCAAATTCTATTTAGTAATTAACACATGTATATAACATTAACATTGAGTTTGGTAATATGTAAATTATCTCATATATGATTCAGTGACCTGCAGCTTTGAGTCTATTTTTTGGTTAAGAAGACCTGCTTTCATGTCACGTGTTATGTCATTTATGGCGTGTTGAATGACGAATCTGATACTATAGAAAGCAAACAAAAGAAACATTCCAAACACCAATTATGGGAACTGGTAGAGTGAAGTGAGTCAAGGAATGTCGATGATTGTAGTCTGCCACACCCCTTTGGCCAGTGTCTATGGCCAAAGCAATATGACATCATCCCAATTCCTGGGATTTGGTGAGACTCTCTTCAACGAGATCACCTGCGCAAACACAAGTGCAACGTGGTTAAAGCATCAGGAATCTGTCGTGAGAGTGGTTAGTTTGGTGACTTATACAATCATTACACACAAAACACTCAACACTAAACAAATTGGGACCAACGACACCATAGAAGATCAGAATTAGCACACACATATTACATGTCTACAAATCAAATATCCCCACCCCACACATGTCAGATCTGCAACGACGGAAATGCATCAGCAAAGCAACACGGCAATGGTTCAAAAGATCCGCCCGCCGCCATGCCCGTCGCGACGCCCGGCGCCGGCCTGGAATATCCGGCAAGAAATCGCCACCTGGGCGAAATGGCTGGCTATGATGTCATTCGTTCATCGACCGGCTAAATCGTGGATGATGCCTATAGATCTTCCTACTGTGCCAAAGATCTTCCCGACTGGGGCAGGTTTCGACAAGGCAAACATGTTGCTTTGCAAGATCCTTGTGGATGACTGAGAATCTTGGGGAATGAGTCCCGAATATCAACTGCCCTTCAAAGGCCACGAATGGCTGGACCGTAGGGAGCAGCCCGGACAGCGGAGTTAGCCCGGCAGTGCAGTCTTCGTGGCAAATGCTCTAACCAAAAAGAGCACATATGTGCAAGAAAACTGCACTGCCAGGAGTGCCCCTTCTGTTTTATAAGCAAATGGGACTTGACAAATGCACTTCTTGTTTCCCAATCAAGGTCGCCTGAATGATCGGGTGAATGACCCGTTTGTCTAAGGCAAAAAAAAACACCATCGGTGGGTGGGACCTTCAATCTCAGCCATCTGCTTCATGTCAATCCTTGTCCCACACTTCCCTTTGGATAATGGTGCTTAATTTTGGATCAGGCAAGCAGGAGAACAGGCAGAATCAAACAACCTCAGAGTCTGCGCAACCGAAAACCGACGCAACAAACCCTTCGCCCAGAGAGCTCTCGTCGCCCAGAAGCTGAGATCCGGCATCTTCAAGGACCCCGCAACTGCCGAGTGACGTTGGATGCAGTCGCAGGGAGTGCCGTGGATGGAGTCATTTGTTCAAGCTCGTGGCTCGTGGATGGATGAACGACATCAGGACATCGAGAGGTCGATCAAATGGACACGTCTCTCATTACCAGACTCTCACTGCACACCACATGATTACATACAAGCTGTCACACTTTAATTCCCAGAGCTTGCAAGGATGATGTTCCACTCCCACTTATGATGTTTGCACAAAGACTCAATTCAGCGTTCCACCGGATGCTTCATTCGTCCCGCCCCATGCCCAGGCCACCAATACCCGCACCGTGGAGCCTCGAATCACCTTCTTCATCGTTTGCAATAGCAGCTTGATGGCTTCTGGCCGAGCAGCGGCGCGCTTGGTGCGGGACCCAAAGCGTGAAAGAACATACGGCAAACGCTCTTGGTGTGTTAGCGCCTTATTGGGATGGTGATGTTCAGCTTTGTGGCCATAGTTGATCAGAGTTGTGGGATGGACAAACGCTGGAACTGAATGGATCCAAGTTCCAAAAAGGCAGGTGTCACAAGATGACATGGCAAGGCCGTAGCAAAAACACATGAAATATGAAAGTCCTAACCAGGATGCCAGGTGGAAGAGGTTGACATTGAACAAACGTTCTCCTCCAAGCCAGTAGCTGCCCAGAGAAGACAAAGTGGTCTTTGGTGAAGGCATCTGGTATACAATATCATCTATATATACCTTCCCAAAAATGCATTAAACGGTTTAAGCAACAGAAATACACCCATGCCCCACGAACCCGTTTCGTGTTCGGCGCACTGATCATCGCTTTGATGAGCCCGAAGAGCAGTACCGCCGCCGCAATGGCTGCAGCAATGATCTGGCCAGATCCGGTGCTCGGGTCCCTGCATGATCTCGACGTTAGCATGACATGGTGACCAATTATGAATACTTCTCCGAAATTATGACGGCTCCTGGCCTTACTACTAGGAGCAACGACGCTACTAGGGGCTCCT